ATAATTATGTTAAAACTTTAAAATTTAACAGGAAAATAACAAAAAAAAAGTTCATTAAAAATTTAAATTAATATAATTATTTTTAATAAAAATCGGAAATACAAAACTTAAATATTATTGGTAAATTATTTATTCACATGATTGAATTTTTTTGTGGTAACTTTTAGATTAATTAATGCAGTTGGTTTAACATATAATAAGGTGGGAAAGGAATCAATTTACATGTTGGATTTCTATTAATAAAAAAAAAGGATAAAGCTATAACCTTATCCATCATTTATCAAAACCATGGGTATTGTAGGGTTTGTTAAAAAACACAAAAAAATTATCTTTTGAGAAATTTTATATATATCCTTATATCGAGCTGTCTTTTGTTTTCAACCCTTACACTGAGTATTCAAAATTAATATATATATATATATATCGAGCTGTCTTTTGTTTAAATCACGTTGACGGGCTTTTCTCAAAATTAATCTCAAACTTTTCTCAAATACAAAAAAACCCTTATACATACATACATACATACATACACGCGCACAGGCATACATACATATATATATATATATATATATCAGGATGTGGAATAATGTTATTGTTAATTATTATTTGAAAATCTTAAAGTTATTAGGATATATAGAAGAGATATAACGAGCTTAAGTCTATAAAAAGCAGTTTCAGGCTTTAGCATTTAATTAACAACCTTTTTTTGTTAAAATATTTAATTAACAACCTTCGTTATTAATAGTCCTTTGCCTTTGTCAACGCAAACCTACAATCATGAGTTCGACTCTCTCCATTCAAAATTTTAATTTACCTTAGTTTTAGTGCTTAATTATAAACCTCTTTTTTTTATTTAATGATTTTTTCTTAAATTTATAAATATGGCATATAACTTTTTTTGTACATACATATATATATATATATATATAAAGTTCATGCGATTATGAAATATGATGAATAAGGGCTAATTAATGCGAATTAAATATAGTTTTGAAAACATTTGTTAAAGATAACGAGTAATCAATGATGAATTAACGGGTCCAAATATTAAGAAGAGGAAGGTGGGTTGGTGAGCTGCCGTCATACGAACACTTGCATGCATGCGCATGACTTTACCCGTCGCGGTAGGCGAAGCCAACGTTCCATTTACTACGTATATACTTTAATATATACATATATACAGCGTCTATGAACATGTTCAAAAGGTGCGATAGAATAAGATTTCAAAATTTATGGGACCCCTTATTAATTATTAATAATAGAAAATAATTAAAATTAATTATAAACTGTAACAACTTTTGTTATTATTAATTATCTTTATTATTATTAAATAAATTAAAATATTTATTTTTAACAGCTAAAACCAAAATATATTATAATTTTTATAAAAAATATTTATTAGAACTGATTTTTTCTATAAAAATATATTAAAAAATATTTATTAAAACTAATTAAAATATATTATAGCAGTTCATTGATATATTATGTTAAATTAAATATATTTATATTATTTTTAAATGTTTTTGGAAATAATACAATTTTTAATTTTTTAATTTTATTTAAAATTATTATTTTAAAATTTATTAATTTATATAAATTTAAAATATGTACAGGGCCCCAAAAATTGGTGAGACGACCCTGCATATATATATAGTGTATGATATGCACAATCTATATATATATATATGTATCCACAGTAGGTGTTTCTGAAAAAGTAATAAACTACCTAATAGTTGGTGGTCCGATGGTTAAAAAACGACAAAATCATCTCAAAATCATGGGTTCGATTCTTTTGATAGAAAGAGATGTAACTTCTGGATCAAAATAGCCTATATACAAAGGTTGGTCCCGGATCTAGGATAAATGTAGTTAGAGCAAAATCCCAAAAAACTATCATAGTTATCATAAAAATAATAAACTTCCATATTCAATCACCAATATAAAAAAAATATATTAAAAAAAAGTTAACAATATTTTAATTAGCTGGCGAAAACATTATATAAATATAGATTCTGTATTTTACAGAAATATCTTGTAATACTAGTAGAAATTATAATAATAGTAATTGGTATATATTTTAATATTTGAGGATTGAGGTCATATACCAAGACTGAATTTTCAAATATATGTGTGTGTGTGTATTTTGTAATATTCAAAAACAAGTGTTCGGTATATTTATATGCAATATTGTGTTTGAGATCCGAAATATTTAAGTTAAATTTGTGAAATGTAATAAAAATAAATAAACGTCACATGATATCAAACGATAATTATGGAGATTTATAATTCCTGATCATTTTACATTTTCTTGAAATTAACTAATAAAATAAATTGGGCATTTGACTAAGAAAATAAACATTACATTGAAAGTCAATGACTAAATGGTCAAACAACAAACGTGTATATATATATATATATTAACATAAAGCTACAATGGCAAAATTTGACGTGTCATTGAGAATGCGGAACGCGTGCATACATTATTATTATTATTATTATTATTATTATTATTATTATTATTATTATTATTATTATTATTATTATTATTATTATTATTATTATTATTATTATTATTACATGAAGGCCGTGTTAAGCCACACACTCGTGAGAGGCAAGTGGGATCCACAAGGAAAGCCACAATGGCACTGATCCAATCGTCACCACTCATCTCACCAACCACACGCCCCTTCCATTTCGAGGGTCCCATAATAAGTCACAATCACCAAACCCGGTTTACAATCACACTAACCTTGTAAACCGGACATGTTAATTTTACTCGGAAAAAACTACGATTTTTATGGAATTAAGTATATAATATATGTTTAAGTTTATATAGTTATCAAATTTAGTAAACATATTCTGTATAAAATCATCAACTTTTAACTTTTCAAAAACTTTTTCAAACTTTAGACAAAAATTTCTAAAAAAAATCGAAATCTTATCATTTTTTTTAAACAAAACAAAATTTATAAAGTAGGAAATTTTTAATCAAACAAATGGAGATATATACCCTTACTCATATCAAATTGGGTCCAACCATGTATATATATAATTTAGTTGTATGTATGTGTGTATATATATGTACGTATATACATTTGTATTTTTTTATTTTTTATTTTTTCAAAATTGTTGACATGGCAATTCGGTTAAAGCCACCTCAATATTCTGAATGTTGTGAAAGGTTTTACCAAATTGACGGATTTTTTTTTGGAAGAGTGCTAGTTGAAGATTTTATAAGAAATGTTTTTGAAGTTCATTTTGTTATGGGGATAACAAATATCACATTTAATTATTTATCAAATAATGGAATTAGTTGATTCAAAATATCATGTTTAATTAGTTATCAAATAATGAAATTAGTTTTGTAACTTCAAACTTGTACCAAAATTGATTCCTATAGGTTGAGTTCTCCATTCGGTTAATTAGAGCAAACATCTTCAGTTCTACAGATGGTTCGATGGATGAGAGATGATAAAATCATTCTCAACATTCTGGATTTGATTATTCTGATGGAGAGATATGCTTTTTGAACCAAAATGATTCATATACAAAGATTGATCCCGAGTATAGGATGAATGTAGTCGGAACCGATTATAAAAATAAAATAAAATCTTCAGTTCCACATCATAATTATCAAAGCTTATATGTATTAATTATAATATAAAGTTAGGGTAATATTTTTCTTTAACAATTTTTTAATGAAATTGTTACTTAAATGGTGCTATCAACATTATTCTGCTTGTGGATACACAGAAAATAATTTGTATTTTTCATGGACACGTAGACATAGATTTAGCGTAGATCTTAATATTAATGATTCTACCAAACTTTCTCGACACAAATCTATCAATAATTAGTGTTGTCAATATATATATATATATATTTAATCACAATTTAAATTGATTATCTTTATATTCAATGAATATCTCGGATTATGGTTGGTTTTAGATTTAAGTATTTTTTATTTAATAGAAAATTGAAAATTCTATATGTCGAGTTCCATTTCAATTTAAGTTTTCTTCAAAACAAGTAAAATATTTTTCTTTCATTTAATTGTTCAATTATTTTTATATTCAATATTAATTTAATTTTAGGAAAATAATATCCAAAATCAAATCTATTTACATATATTATTAAGTTTATTTATTTATTTGGTGTTATATAAACACAAACCAGATATTATTATTTAAAAGGAGTCTAAATAGAATATAAAAACAGTAAAAGATAGAAACATAATAAACTTTTTTCGATATTTTTTAATTGTATTTTTTTAATGAACTAAAAATTTAAATTGAATCCAAATAGAATTCCAACAAATTCGATCTACCTTATACTTTTTACAAAAAAATCTAAAAAATAAATAATCTTAAATATAATAAAAAAAATCACCCTTAAAATTTAGGATATTAATAAATATTTATATTTATGAGTTTATTTTGTACTTTTACATTATAAATAAAATAAATTAAACTTATATGCGCGGTTGTCACTTGTCACTATGAGACTTCAATCATAAATAAAAAGAAAAGAAAAAAAAAAGAAAAAGAGATTTCCACATAAGCTTAAAAGACGACGTTTCATGAAAATATGGACACGTGTCATGACATGATTTAGTCTTATAGTAAGAACCAGACGAAACGACTTGAAAGAGAGAGGGAAAAAACCAACGGTGGTGATAAACCTAAGCTCTCATCGCAGCCTTTCTCCTCTCTCCTTTCTTCTCCAGCGTCCGATCTCTCTCTCTCTCTCCCTTTCTCTTCTCCACCAATCAAGCCACTTCTCTCTCTAGCTCCCGCCCTTTTTCAAATTCATCAGGTAAAACACCCTCTCTCCTTCTTGATCGGACTCTTGATTTCATGTTTCATCTCGCGGTTTCATGTTTGATCCATTGATGTTTGATCCAATGATTCCCAATTCCAGATGGCGTGTGTTATGTCTCTAGTTAAACGTTGTTTTTGTTGCGATGTTTCTGTGTTTCGATTTGGGGACTAGATTTTTCGATGGCGGAGATGCAGGGCGAGGGAGCGAGTCCCGGGGACGGCGGAGGCCATGAGAGCGGCGAAGACCAGAGCCCAAGGTTTGCCAAAGTTCGCGGTCAGGACAGGTTGCTACCCGTCGCTAACGTCAGCCGTATCATGAAGAGAGCGCTTCCTCCCAATGCCAAGATTGCCAAGGACGTTAGGGACATTGTTCAGGAATGCGTCTCCGAGTTCGTCAGCTTAATCACCAGTGAGTATGTCTTTGATCCTTTTATCCATTTCTCCGAGTTCGTCAGCTTAATCACAGGGCATGAACAAACGGAGAATCGACAAGAAGTTTTTTCTTAAGCTTAATCACCAGAGACTGATTCAGTCTCTTCATTTGCATCCCAGTTAGTGTTAGGATATTTTTATCGCTGGTTCAAAGTTTTTTCTTAATCACTGGTTATTGCCTCTGTTTTTCGATACCCCGCTCAACAGGGACGTTTTTGTTATCTGCTTGCTTATTTATGACCTAATCTGTTGAAAGTTCGGTATTATGAGACAATGAAGTTAGATGAAGCGTGCCCATTTTGGTGAACAGGGCCAGTCACAAGTGCCTAGCAGAGAAAAGGAAGACCCTTAATGGAGATGATGTACTTGGGGCTATGGCCACTTTTGGGTTTGAAGCTTACATTGAACCCTTGAGGATTTATCTGATGAGATATAGGGATGTAAGTTTTTGGTTTCAGCTCGTGTGCTTCCTGCATATTACAATAAGAGAATTTCGACGTTTTGAATCACTGACGTTCTGTTTTTCTTCTCCTTCTCCTTTTCTTTTCTACCGTATGGCTTGGACTGAAGCAGATGGAAGTAAGCGATTCTCCTTTCCATTGTGCTATACTCTACCATCTGGACACTGGATGTAATCCATTTTCTTCTTTGGTTGGGTGACATTAAGGGTCCAGCAAAGGGAGGGGACCCGAATGCAACGAAAGAAGCCCAACCTATCCAAAGCACTGAGGTGAATGCAAAGAAAGATGCATCATTGTTTTACTCTAGATGCTGAGTTAATCTGACATCTGTGCCTTTGCTACCTCCTACCAGCTTCCTCACCAAGCCTCCTCCTCCTCACAAGATCTTGCTTATGGAGACTCTCTAGTAATGTCCTATCTTCTCCGTCTCTACCACACAAACACACATCTTTTCTCCTTTCAAATGATCTTTTACATACACATCCGTTCCCCTCACGTGTACTCACATCCATGATCCATCCACATACCCAACTGAATGCACCCACTTTGCCCTTGCACCGTATTTCGCAATTGCATTCATACACATGTACTCTTCCTCCATATCCACTTTCTGAAATGGATATAAATAGATTCTCATCCTTACCGCAATGCACTCTCATTCCTAACTTGACTTTAGCTTCGAAATCACCTTGTCACGCATTATTGGATACGACAGCTTATTAGACACATTCATTTTCTATTATATCTAATTTTCATTTATCTCAACATCTTTCCAGTCAGATGATTTTGGACCAATACCAGAATTGGAAGATCTGTGGGAATCACCCTAGACAGATTCACTAACAATAATACCCACCGGCATTGTAAGTAAATGCTGGCATTGTAAGTCCATTCTGTTCTTCCTCCAGTGTTTTCGGCTTAAACGCGAACTCAAGATATCAGTTTCAAAAGTCCGTGTAACATTGGTTGTAGACACAAGTCTTCAGTTCGTCTTTTGTTTTTGGGTTTACAGTTTTTTTTTTTTTGTAAAATTTTTAGGCTTACAGTTCTGAGCTAATGCGACTTTATATGGCATTTGCAGGGTCGGACTCAGAGTAGGTCATATTGGTTAACAAATTCACATTTTGCAGATCCAAAGGTAGCCCTTTTTTTTTTCACTATAAAAAGCTTCGTTAGTAAATATACCATCTTCTCATATATCTTCATATCTTCACGTGTGAAAAACCGGTTCAATAATAACAAATTTAGGTTCTGTTTGCTTGTTCCCCCCCTCGAATTAGGGCATATTCTTGCACAAGAAAACAGCAAAAAAGGACAGCACAAATAAAAGAGAAACCCTAATCTTGGAATTAACAAAAGTGATAATTACTGACCCTAAACTTATATAGATAATAACACCACCTGTATCGAACAAAAAACCTTTTACATAAGGGCACAAATGGGTTATACAGTTTGTGATCAAGCATATCCTGTTATGAATGTGTGATTTTTTTTATTTGGTAATCTTTTAATTTAGATATTTTTTTTTTCATTAGCTAAGTAACAGATATAGAGTTTCTTTATATGTTCTTCCAAAAAACATAAGGGCCGCGTAAGATCTAACGGTCAGGATTCGTTCCCTAACTCAAACACGCGGGACCCACTTATCGCGCTGCAATATTTTTTTTATAAATAAAAATAAAATTAAATAAGAAACCGCCGGTTCTCTTCAATTCAAACAGGAGCTTTTAGCCCTTTCGTCTTCTTCGTCTTTCCTTCTTCGCCAAAACCGTGGAGATCTCCAGCCTTTGCATTTTGGGCACTGCGATTTCGCATTCGATCTTCTTCGTTCGATCTCTGTTCATGGAAGATAACGGTGTCAGGAGAACTGAGATCGAGATCCTTGGGCTCAGTCTTATCGACGTCTCCTCCGAAGACGATAGCCTCCTCTTTTCGTCGATCCTCGATCCCGGCAGCAACGAATTTTTGGGTATTTTTTTATTTTCTCTCTCCGATTCCTTAAATTATATGTTGTATTTGGATTTGATTTTCGCTTAGATGGGTTCAGGGTTCTGTTGATTCGCCTTGAATCCAACTGCTGGATCGCAGAAGCTGATGGGAATGTAGAATTTCAGGGCTAGGGATTTTATTGTTAGTTGATATAATTGATTATCTGGAAAGTGGAAATCTTTCTTGGGAACTGGATTGTTTCTTTCTTCATACTCGGAGATTGCTTCATGTTCAGTTTGGGGATTGCAGATTTCTTGTGGTTGTAGTGATTGTTAATGGAGGTGATAGTCTATGGTTATGTTAACCTTGCGATAAGCTTTTGGATTTCGATTTGGTGTGGGATATGAGGATATGACTTAGACCGTAGAACTAGAACCCATTACTCTTCAAGAACTTTGATGAACTTTTGAGACAAGTTCAGAAAGCCACTGTTATCAAGAGCTGACAGCATTTGAACTGGAAATTGTCGTAAATTTCTGCTTTTAGCTCATAATTGGTATCCTGTCTGATGAAATGTCATTGTTCAGAGACTGATAAGGATGACAAAGTTCTTGGTTTCCTGAGAGATGAACCTGATTATGATGAAGAGATTCCAGTCTCTACCTTAGAAGAGAAAGAACAGGTGCTTCAACCTCATGAATCACCCGAACCTGAGAAGTTGTTGAAAAGTGGAAAATGTAACTTGCGCAAAAGTCTTGCCTGGGACAATGCCTTCTTCACGAGTGCAGGTAAGTTTTTTTGTTACTATTCTCTTTGGAGCTCAACTAGGTAGCCGGCAGATTCATATTTTTAGTTGTTTGTCAAATCAGGTGTCCTTGAGCCTGAGGAACTGTCCAGCATGATAGAAAGCAATCACAAGGGTGAAAGGCAAAATTTGTCAACCATCCAAGAGGATCTGCAAAGGTCAACAGAATCCATATCTACATTTCAAAGTGATTGCACTGTGGAGAACAGTCAGGAGTTTGTTTTCTTTGAAGATTTAAGAGAATCGATCCAACGTTCGGCTAAAGCATCTGGTGCTTCCACACCAGACAAAAGCAAAGAACTAGTGGCAATTGAAGCAGCAACTGGCCGAAGTAAGTGTACTTTACATTGTGCACGGAGAAAAAGAACTTGCTTTGCTCGTTTACTGGATGGACAAGTTTTCTGGGTTGGGTCTGTCTATGTATTATTTTCTGTGAGCTTATAAGATCTCAAATCTTATAGAATGGTGCCTTACTGAACAAAAGGATTTATCTTCAGTGTTTTGTTGTGTTTTTTCTTCATTGGTATGACCTTTGCAATACTAAAGCTTTTCTTCATTGTAATCGAGCCTTATGTCAAATATTCCATCATATTTTGTAATGACTGCTGTGTTTTAGTTTGTTACTGTTGCTGTGTAATTGTGTATATTTGCAAGTATGCAGTTGCGTGAAACATATTTAGTTAATATTGTTCCTCATTTGACCATATTTTGCTTTTGTCATCTTAAATCTCCAGCTTCATGTATGGCGAAGGGCCCTCTCTCTCAGGAAAAGGTGAGTCCCCTAATCACTCCAGGCTGTGGATTGCTTTAGATTGCTTCCTTGCTAAGCCTATCTTGATTAGTTCCTTTTTCTTTTCTTAGATGAAACCCAAAGGAAGTCATAAGAAGCAAAGTGTTCGGGCACAAGGTTTGGCGAAGACAACAACAAAGCAGGTATATCTTCTTCTGCCAGTTTCTCAGGCACAAAAAAAAGAAAAAAGAAAAAAGACTACAACCTTCTATTTTTTTATGTCTTACTATACCATCCAACAGCAGGTAAGTGATGGGTTTCTCTTGGTTTTCCCAATAGTGGAAAAGTTTGAGAGGCATTATATAATTCATTACATCTCATTCCATAATGAACCACATGATTAATGCAAATCAAGAACGGGATCTTATCTTATTAGTGTTACGCTTTCTACAGCCTGTTGTTGCCGCGAGAGGATTGAATACATCGGTCCCCAAGGTATTCGATAAAGTCAGGCCCATGCCAACAACATCAATGAAGAGAGCCTCCTTAGATGTTAACAAAACCAAACACGAAAAGGATTCAAAGTTAGCTGGGGGTTAGTAATAACCTTTTTATCCTCTATTTTTGTATGTGGTCTTTGTAATTTTCTGATTCTTTAGCTTCACATGTTACTAAGAACTTCAATTTTACAGGTAAACATCACCTAGGTTCCAGAATATCCATTTCTGCAAGTGCTAGACCCGTAGTAGTGTCTTCTAAATCTTCTTTACGTTCTTCGGTTGCCTCTACAAATGAATTGGCATCTTCTTGCTCTTCATTAGAGAGCTGTGCTGGTGCTAGTGCTTCATCTAGCTTTTCTCAAAAATCTTCCATAAATTTGGTACGGAAGAAGAATGATTTGAGTTCTTTAGCAAATAGAACCAGACCTAAAGCTGCACCTAGAAATGTGACGCAGCCTAGAGTTCCACCCCTCTCAACTAAGGGAACGTCCAAGTCCAAGCTTTCGCCTAATGTATCACCTGCTAGCTCTTTTAGTGACCGGTCATCGGAATCATCACGAGCTTCTACACCAAATAAAATGCCTAAAGGCATCCAGAGAACCGTCTCTGGTGCAAAGGGCTCTGCAAGCAGCGATAGACCGCAAAGTTTGAAGCGTCATGACAATTCTAAGGATGAATCTTTTGCCCGATGTGACTGTAAGGTGGATGAAATCATCCATGAAGGTACAGAACGAGTTTCAGAAGGTAATGGTGGTTTGCTTCATCCAGCTTCAATGAAGCCGTCGGGCCTCCGTGTGCCATCACCAAAAATCGGCTTCTTTGATGGAGTAAGTACCCAAAATTCATGAAAAATTCGTTGAGAAAGGATGGATACTAGTCCTTCTTGAAGCTTTCCCTTGGGAAAGTGTCGAGTTCATTTCTTGCTATAGTGTTAATATACATTTGGATATGTTTCTGTTAAACAGGTGAGAAGTGTTGCAAGGACTCACACGGGAAACATTCAACCCCGTTCAAGTGTGTTAAGCAGATTGTCCAAGCATGGAGTTAATACTCCGAATGGATCAGAGGCCAAAACAAAGTATGAAAAGCTTCAGCCTGCAAGTGCAAGGTCTCCTTTACAAGAATCTTCAAACCCTAAAACAAAGACCAGTGGCGTTTCCAGGAGTCTCAGGGTCGTGTCTGTCTCATCACCAAAGGCACAGAAGAAAATGTATTCGAAAATTAGTGCAGAAGAGCAATTGAAAGGTGAGGCCGATAATGAAGAAAAAAGTGCAGGAGAGAATAGTTCATCATGGGTAATGCATAAAGAAGGCCGCAGAAAGCAGAGCAGCACTGGTCTTGCGGAAGAAACAGTGAAAGCAAGTCCTGTTAATGGAAAACCCAATTCCTCTTTTGATCAGAATTCTGCTTCCGGCGATGAGAACACAATCTCATCATGTATTGAGTTACCTGAAGAGGGAGAAATTTCAGACAAGCAGAGTGACAAATCAGCAAAACCGGCCAGAGACATGGGGTCGGTCTGGACATTAGAGATGGAAAATGAGTTTACTGGAACGCTTCTGAACTGAAAGCAGCAACCGGAGAAGATGGGTCAGATGATATAACAGCATCTCTTAAAGGTCTGAAAAAAGCAGAAATATCTGCCAAAGCTACCTTCTCCCCCTCGAGGGGAAAGCTTCTTCTGTTCAAGTTAACAACTCGTTTCGTTTTCCTTTCGTGCAGGAAGAAGAAAAACAATCTTTGTTCTATATATATATATATATATATCCGAAAACCAAAAAATGAAAAAATGTCAAAGCTCTATGGAACTTGACCGGACAAGGGACAACTATGGATCTCATGGAGAGTTAGATCCTTGTGTGTAGAGTTTCGTTCTCTGGTATGAATCTTGCTGTAGGGTAATAGTTCATAACTTCCGTACATTGGAATATAACTGTGCTATATACATATATGTATGTATATATGTATGTATGTATGTATAGGGCAGGGACTAGAAGATCACAGGCCAACAACTTGTCCAGGTTTTTGTGATTTGCCATTTGAGTTCATGTCTCTGTCTGGAAACGTAATCTCTCCTTTGCATTTGTGTAGTTCAGCCTCTGCGTATCTCAGTGTTTTATCTTTTCCGTGTTGGCCTCGTCTTCGTCATCAGTTACTTAGACGGACATTATCATAGGGTTTGACCAATTTGGTTAATATCTAAACATATAAAAATTAAATAACATGAACATTTTAAATTTGGTAAATAAATACATTAACTTCTAATATCGTATAAAAACACAAATTTTGAAAATTAAAATATAAATCCACATAAATTTGAATAAAGTTACACAAACTTTAAAATTTTTAACATACAACCACACAAGAAAACCAATTGAGTTTAGTGTTTTAATGGGTTTACACAAAAAAATTCAAAATTTGTGTATTTTTATACAAAATTAAAAGTTTATATATTTACTAGGAGAGACCCGCGCGATGCGCGGGGTATTTTTGTTATTAGTAATATAAAATATTTATCTTTTTGTTATGAAACTTATTGATATGAATATAGCAAAAATTATATTATGAAATCATTATATATATATATATATGAAGGAACGAAGAAATGAAAGAATTTAAATATCAATAAATTATTATATTATAAAATCATTTTTATATTAAATAAATTTGCCAATGTAAATTTATATATTTTTTATGATGAAGCGCATGTTTAATCAATATAATTGTACGTTTTACGCTAGGTGTGGGAACGAGTCGGGTATCCGCGATTTTATGGTTACCAGAACCTGAATCCGAACCCAAAAATCATATAAATTAAAAACCCAAACTCGCACCCGTTTTGATCGGGTATCCAAAAATCGGGTACTCAAAATAATGTTTAAGTATCCGTGGATACCCCAACACGGAATTTAAATATAAAATTTTAACCCAAAAAATATTTATCAGATATAATATTAAGGAAAATATCATAAAATTTTCAATTTTAACCAAGTTATAAAAAATATAAATGATATTCATAAAAAAACATTACAAAATCATCATATTTTAATTATTTATGAAAGATGTCATAGATAATCAAAAAACAAAGAAAGTTATTAGCCAAAAAATATCTAAAAGTAATTCTTTCACAAACTCACACTGACTCGAAAACCATATGAAAGTAAAGTAGATTAGAGATGAAGGAGAAATGAGAAGTACGTGCACATGAAAACGATCAGAAGGAAGGAGAGATAAAGAAGTGGAGAGAGAGAGAGAGAGAGGAGAGAAATGGAGCGAGATGGAATGGAGAAGTGGGAGACGGCTTCTGGAAAAAAAGTAGGAGAGAGCAATGTAAAATTAATCTTAGGTTTTAGTGTTATTCTTTCAAAATATAAGGATGAAATTGTAAATCTATGATTTTTGGGTACCCGCAGGTAATACCCGAATCCGAATCTAACTACCCTAATCTCAGACTTTTTTAAGACTTAAACCCGATTTCATCTTATACATTAGTCGGATACCCGAAATTAGGATACCCGACTCGACCATATATCTCTTTGCATCTTTTTCATTAATGCATTTAGAAATAATAATTTATGAATTTTTTAGTATAAAATTTTATAAATTTAGATGTAATGGATATTTTTTTACATTTATCGAATGCTATCATTTTATTTTTAAATTTATATTTGTTAATTGATACTACCAACACCATATTTAGTAAATTATTGGCATTATTATTAGATAAGATAGATGTTGTATTGAATGAATAATGTTTGTCAAGATCTTGGAATGTAACATATGAACATAGGGTGTCAAAATGGTCGGGTCGGACCGGCCCAGCCCGAGTCCGACACAAGTCCGGAGAATTGTGGGTCGGCCCGAAACATGTGTAGACTTAAAATCATAGGCCCGAAATCCAGCCCTGTGGACTTTTTTCGGGTTTGGTCCGGGCTTCAGGCTTGAACTTTAAAAAAAAAATTAACAAACAAAAAATAAACAATAAAAATATATTAAAAAATCATATAAATAAAAAAAATTAATATATATATTGATAAAAACATTTATTAATATATATATTTTGATTTCAGAAAATTTAAACGCTAAATTTTAAAATTTTATATAATAAAAAATTTTATTTAAATATTAAATTGTTATATTTTTAATCCTAATAAATATGCCATACTAATGATATTATAATTTTATATACATTATGTTATTTATTAGACTCCAATTCAGGCCCAAACCCATTGATTTTCGGGCCGGATTCGGACCGGACAACGGATCTCGGGTTTTTTTTACATCTCTATATGAACACGTCATTCCCTAGTGACTTTTTCACTGAAAAATGTTGTAATATGAGATGTACGACTTCAATAGTTTAGGAAATAAAGACTGATGATGAAGAGTTTTCTGATACGAAGTTTTAAGAAAAAAGATGATTGTCTCCACTGAGTCTTCACATAGTCTTGTCCTTGAGAGGTAGGAAATTGGATGACGATAAATTATCTAAGTAGCAAATTCGACATTTTTAATAACTATATTTCTTAAACAGGAAAAAAATTTCGTTTCCTTAGGAATAAATTATTCGATTCTTATTCTATTTCGGAGCTATTTTTGTATGTCTCTTTCATATTTGAATCCATATTTGAATTGGTATAAATTGCACATATCTTAACTTGATTTGTTCCTCTGTTTACAAATTCACGAAAATTTAGTTTTTTATTTTAGTTTTATCATTAGATTTTGATTGGGTTTTTCAAAACCGAGAGGATTTGTATAAGGGCTCTTGGGTTTTGATCAATCTGTTGGTTTTATGAGGAAAAAGAGGAAAACAAAGTCGAATTTTCTATAAAATAGTTAAATTTCTAAAAAAATTAACAGATTTTCAAAGGAATTGTTTATTGAGTATAAATTCTTTTTTTTTTCAGATATCTTGATCTGTGGCTTCCAATTTCACTATTTGAAATCTAAACCTAAGAATTTTGAGCTAGAATCCGCGAACTCCAATGGTCGTGATGACGACAATAACCTTCTTTGCGAATTGGTCGAGCAATATTTTTTAATTATCATTTATCATTTAAAATCACGTTAGCTATATATAATTTTATTAGATTATTATTAATTTTTATGCATAAAAATATCAATAAATTATTATAACCAAAAAACGAAAAAACGCATCTATATTATATAAAAAACTATTGTTATCTTAATTATGTATTATTGATTTTTATTTGATTATATTATATTTTAAAATGTATTTTAATATCATTGCCACATTTTTTTCCACGCATTGCCACATTTCTTAATATTTGATTAAAAAAAATATTAGACAATAACATAATGAGTCATTATAATTTTATAATTTAATTTTATTAAAATATTTTTCTCTATTAAACAAAAAATTGATATCATTTTTATAACATTGCTTTAATAAATGAAACAACCAATTTACTTGAAAATAGAACAAAATAATTTTTCTTTCTTTTTTCATACTATATAAAAAGATTCGTTATATACATACATATATACGTTGGAATAAAATAAAATATCCAACTATTTTATTCATAAAATGTGGTCACTTATATAAATTTAATATTGTAGGAATTACAATAATAAAATTTGAAAATATGAAATCTTTATATTGTATTAGAAATTTATATATTATTAAAATTTATTTAGTGTGGATTCTTCTTAATATATATATATATATAATGACTTATGAACTCATATGATTGATTACGGATGAATCAATTAATCAATATATATTTGCTACTATTAGAAAGCATAAATATAATCAAAATTAAATTGATATTTAAAAAATTAGTAATGGAGAACTTACTGTTGCCTTAATATATTAATTGACAAAGAAGCAATCATAAAATAAAATTGCCGAAAAAAAAACTAAAATAAAAATAACCTCCCTCCAATGTTTCTGTCTCTGTTCCCCTTCTTTCATCCGGGATCTATCGCTGTGGCGGGTTACCGAAAGTGTAAATGTACCCTTGTGAATCTTCGTCTTCATCGTTTTTCCTCTTCTTCTGAAACTTCTCCTTATTTAAAAAAAATATTCTATGATGAATCATCAAAGTTGAATCAACCACTAAAAAAATAGAATCAAACCTTGAAACATGAGTAACTCTAAATAGAAAAGAAATCAAACGATATATACAACCTTGAAACACTTTAACAAAAAAACCTTGAAACACGACGACTCTGCTCCACCGACACCGTGCTCCCGCTGTCGTCGATATGGTTCACGGATTCGTTTCCACCGCGTTGATAATGCCTTCGTAATGGCACCACCCACTAAAACCAGATGAGTTTCCCTTAATCTAGCAACTGCTAATCAACATCTACATAATAAATATAATGATTAGTGGGATAATAAATTATCTTGAAATGTTTTAATTTTTTACTCCGGTAATATGATTCGAAATTAAAATAATGAATGTATGAAAAATATAATTGAATTTTTCCATTTACTCATACACAACCGTTTATTTTTTATAATTAGATGAGAATTAAGAAAATCACAATAATCCTTCAAACATTATAAACTATAATCAATTATTTTAGTTATATAATTAGTATTTTAGTTTATTATAAATTATATTTTTTCATTTAAATGTAATTTAGGAATATATAAATATTCGTAAATCATATATTCATTTACATTATATATATATATATATATATTTTAGAAATATTTAAATATTTTATTAATTTTATTAAATCACATCTTTGATATATTAAATATCCTTTTTTATATATAAAAGAAATAGTTAATGAATATTTTTTAATGAGCATTTTAATATATAAATGAGAATTAAAAAAGTGACACATAGATAATGATATTATATCACAATGTAATTTTTAAAAGAAATAAATTACATTTAAAGCATATTTTATCACAAAATCTGTATTACTATATTTATATTTAAAATCATATATTTTAAATTTATTAAAAATTCATAATAATTATATCTACATAAAAATTCACCAACTTTCCAAAAACTTCTATATAAATAAATGAATTTTGAATTTTATTAAAAAAATACATGAACTTTCTAATGTATATAGATATAAGTGTGGGTGTATGCGTGTGTATGTATATAGTCACTTTTCTTATATTGTCAATGAACTTCAAACTTGAATTCCACTTGCAAATGCATTATCTCCTTTGTTCGTATTTGAATCTTGAAATTATCCATCACAACCGCATACAAATACAAAGATCAGACATTTTTTTTTTCAAAATCGAAGTCAGAAACAGAGATACAGTTGTAATATGTAACTCACATCCACTTGTAATTGAAGAGAAAAACATGAATTTACCCATTGAATTTGGAATGAGTTATGTAATCTTGAAGAAATCTCAAAGATAGAGAATTCACCTCTCGGTCTACTAACTCCCTACCTACAGAGTAACTCGTCAATCTCTCGATCTATTCAAGTAAACCCTAGGCGCATAAAGAACGCTATCATCAACCCTAGATCGATTAAACCATATCTCTATGTGAATAATACGATCTATCCTATTGATTGGAATGAGTTATGTAATCTTGAAGAAATCTCACCTCCTTACCAATTTCTCTCTTTACTTTATTGAGTGATACTTCTCATTCCGATCCTTGCAAAAAATTCACATTCATTGAATTTTAGTTAGCGGTTAATAATGAAAACAATTATCACCTTTTGGAAAGACAATTTGTGTTGATTAGCTTCAACAACAGCACTCTTCTTTACCAAAAACTGACATATTCGCTTTCAACTCGTGCATCCTTGCTTCTGCTAATTGGATATTTGCGGCATTTTCTGGGAATGGTGCTTCTCGCACACGTGCTTGTCTTTTGGCAACTTCAGCTGTCTGTTTTGTTTTTTCAATGTCATTTACATTAGAAAAATTTAACGAAGGCAATGTTGGTAAAATTAGTTTACCTAGCGTTCACGACGTAGACACCAGTGTATGTGAAGAATGCGATACGGTCACCGGCCGACGAAAACGACGGGAACCCACCTTCGATTCTGAAGAGAGAAAGGTCGAGCGATGATGATTTGATGTTCTCGAGGAGAAGCAAAGACCTTGTCTGTCCGTTGGCATGCCCTCTGCAACTGTGGTATCCGACCCGTGTCGAATTAGGGGAGAGAAACGGGTTGAAATGGTGACTCTTTGGCGACACCAGACGAGTCAACTCGATGAAATCGTTCCTTTTCAGGTCGAACAGTTCCACGTGGCGGATATCCGAGCCGAGTCACCGAGTGGCAACCGCGATGAAGTCGTGGTTGTTGGGCGACGTAGCGGGTGCGAAAGCGTGGATACGCGGTGGTGTGACTGTGAATCGTTTTTGATTGGGTGGTGTTATATAGGAATACAGACGTTTAAGTGTATATAAAAAAATAAATATTAAATGTGATGTAATAAAAATAATTAGTGGGATATTTGAATCAATAAGAAAGTGTAATGGGAGCGTTAAAAAGATGATTAGTGGGTTAATCAATATGGAATCAATTAGAAAGTGTAACGTCCACCGTTTTTTGTTTTTGTTTTAATTTTTTACATAATGAAGTTTTAAACACTAATTGAATTTATTGTGGTCTACTCCATGATCATGATCATGTTAAAATGACAGTTTTTTATATCTAATGAAGTTGGTATTTTTGTATTTTTTTAATTATAATAATAATTATTGACATTTTTTTATATGATTCATCTCAAAATTTTCATGTAATGTTTTATTTATTATTTTTATTAACATAAAAGAATCAATATAAAAAATAAATATAAAAATTTAAAAAGTGATAGGTATTTTATATAATAAATATAGTTTTAAATATAGTTTTTTATAATTATAATAATTTATTAATATTTTAAAATTATTGATGTGTAACAATTAATAATAGTCTATTATAATACCAAAATTATATTGATAATCAATATCCAATCAAAATTAAACAAAATGACACATAGATGCGCTTCACCACAATCCTTTAAACTCTTTTATTAATATATATAGATTTACTAAATTTAGAAAATTCATGTTTTTTTTGGCATATTCCCATTATTCTTGTGATGGTCAAAATGGTAGAAGCAAATGAATGAGTAACAGTTTTTTTTTTTTAAAACCGAGATAACTAAGGACATGTAATGGCCACCCTTATATGAATCTACGAAATAAAAGGCATTGAAATCATGAATATCTACATGAATTTAGATTTTCATTTTCTTAAACCAAAAGCAGAATCACTTCACAAAGTAGTTCCGACATGTCTGGACACGAGACTGAAATCGACAAAGAGCTGAGAAAATAAAAAGAATTACAGACAGACATCAATGGCGTTTGTTCTTGTTTCATCATCTCACTACTTCTGGCTTTTCTTCAGTAACACACCTATCTTCTTCAGCATATTCCCGTTCTTCTTCTTCGGCGACAGTTCATCATCCGTATCGTCCAAAAATGGCGATACGTTCAAGTTCCGAGCCAATGGGCTCTCCATAGAACCCGTTCTCTCCACGAATTTCCCGTTCTCGTTCCCTCCCGTGATCATAGAAGCCGCTGCCTCGGCTGCTTTCCTCCATTGATCACACTGTACCTTCAGTCTCCTCAACTCTGTTTCCAGTTCGGCGTTCGTTGCTTGCGCTGCTCCGAGCTGTTCTGTCGCGTTTTCAGCCTTCTTCCTGCTCTTGCCGGCTTCATCTGTCACATTCCCGAGCTTCGTTAATGCCTCCTCGATGATCTTGTCTTTCTCACACTCAATCTCTTCCAGTTCTGCCCTAAGAGCTTCGTTCTGCGACGTTACGCTCTGCAGTTCCATCTCCTTGTCCATTAAGTTCGCTTTCAGATCCGAGATTTCGCTCTCTAGCGTCTTGATCTCGTTCACAAACTCTGGTTTCTCCTCGTTTTCCTTCATTCTTGCGTTCAATGCCTCGTTTTCATCAGCAACGATCCTCAGCTTCGCTTCTTTATCCATCAATCTCCCTCTCAAGGCTTCGATCTCGGCTTTCGCGATCTTCATTTCTTCTTCCAGTTTCGCCTCTCTCTGCAAATATTCCAACTTCACCACCTCGACTTGCTCGTAAGCACTCCGTATCTGCAACGTGCTCTGTATATACTCTTCATGGTACCGTGTCTCGGCTACTTCCAGTGCAGATTTCAACTGGTTAATCTCATTCCTAGCAAGATTCAGCTCTTGTTCAACTTCCTCGTTCCTCCCTGGAATCTCTTCCGAGGAATCTTTACCTGTTTCCCCAGACTCGAGCTTTTTCACGAGTTCTTCCAGTGACCTGATCTCAGATTTAGACAGCTCTAACTCAGTTTCCATGGAGTTACAAACCTCGGACATCTTCATCGCATCCGAACGCAACATCTCGAGTGTCAAATTCGCTATCTCCAGCTGTTTCTCAGTCCCCGACACGAATTCTTGGGCCCGAGCTTCCGCCTCTTTCGCGTCGAACAGCTCGCCCCTGAGTGTCTCGACAAGGGGAAGAGTCTCCCCGAGCTCTATCCTCAGATCCTCGACGAGGGTTTGAGGAGCAACCTCGGGTTCAGACAGCTGTTGAGCTTTCAGTTTCTGGATCTCGTTCATGGCGGAAGACAGAGCAGCGGTATCCATCGAATGCTGTCTCTGCATGGCTTCGAGTTCCGACTGCCAGACCTTGTCTCGTTCTTGCGAGAGCTTACGAAGCTCGTCGATTCTTGAATCTTCCGAGGCAGTTATCTCCATCAACTGCCGCTTCCTCTCCTCGGCTTCTTCCTCTGCTTTCCTCTTTGAGGCTTCCACCATGTTTAGCTGTTCCTTCGCCTTCTTAAGCTCCTCTTGAAGCTGAGCAATCCGAGATTCCATTTCCGGTATCTTTCCTATCCGCTTCTTCGGAATCTTGCAGCAAAAAAAACAATCACATAGTAACTCCAAAAGAATCTGATGTTTCAGAAAATACGAGAGCCAAACTCTACGTTAATACAAGAAAGCTATCGATATAAACGAAAAGGGCGGGTCCAAAATCCACCAAATTTTTCGAGGTATGTATCGGTATAACGAAATTACAAAGACAAATATTGAACTTCCGAGACAAGTCACCCGATGTAACTGGCTCTAATCTACGAACAAAATGTGTATATATAGGAAAGTACCTCGCTGACAGGAGTTCGGGGAGAACGTCGATCAGACAGAACTTTCGGGCTCTGGCTTTTAGGTGTTCTGCTTTTCGGGTTCGGGGAAGAAACCGAGTCAGACTCGGTCTTGAGTCTCCGAGCCGTCGCAGGGCTCTTCTTCTGAGGTACCTCCAACGAGCCCGGCCTGACATTATCACACACTCAGAACCGAATCATTATCATTACAGAACATATGACATCGGAAAAAGAAAAAAGGTTCATCCTTTAAAAACATTCAAGAAACAGAGTACCCCTGAAGCAGGACAGAACTCTTCAGAACACAGACACTGGAAGGTCGAGTTCCTTACAGAACACATCCATGGATTCTCTAACTAAAGCGGCAGAAGAAGAAGGTACTGAAACATGAGTTCAAGATCATCACCTGGCTTTTGGGGTTGTCTGCATTGTCTTTAGAGTGCTGAAGCAAACAATGTTATGAAGAAACACCTGACAGGAAAAAGGGTAATTATAAGACAAATCATTCTGCATAGACAACAAACTCAGGAAGATGGAAAGCTTAAACAAGAGATCAAGAATCCCTAACAAACAAAAACTGCAGAATACAGTAGCTTCAAAGAGACTCCAACATAAACTACTGCCACTACCACCAAACGAGAGCACAAAGACAAAGAAAAGATATTGATTTTATTTGGAAAAAGAAGAAGGAGTTGCCATCAATATGATCAAATCGCAAAGATAATCCCCATTACAAGCAAGGAGAGCACCATATATTCCATGGAATCTTTTGTTTCTTTTTTAAAATTCACAAAATTTTCTTTTTTTCCCCTTCTGAAATTGAAGATGGAGCCATTCTTGCCATTTTGCTAACGTGGGTTTCGATTCATTAGGTGGATTTTCCCGGAAAAGGAAACACAGATCCAAAACAAAAATCACCAAACAAAAAGAAACCAAGAAATGCATAAAAGCTATAATCTCATGACATTATTCTGAAACCCTTCCCTTGAAAACAACAAAAAACGCTTACTTTTCACAGAAATAAAGGTTAGAACTTTGGCTGAATCTTCAAGCTACCAACAAAAAAAAGATGGCATTTTTTAGAATAAATAAACGAAAATTACCCACACCCATTAAAGATTTACATCTTCTGCAGGAAAAAAAAAGGAAATAGAAAAAAACTGGCAAAACCCAGAAACTTAAGGGAGTTTTTGCATTTTGTTGTCGAATATAACAAACCCATGATTGATCTTCACTGTTCTTGTCACAAAAAGAAAAAGAACCCATGAAAAACACAACATCCAGTAAAAGGAAACCAGGGAGAAGACACGAGCAAGAGCCGACAACGTCGTCGACATGTTTTTGGTTCTTCACCTGAACATAAAAAGTTCCTCCTCTGCCCAGAAAAGGGGAAAAAAAACTGTTCTACAGATTTCCTTCAGTGAGTGAACAGGGAGATCGAAAGGAGAAACAATTAGGAGAGCAAAAGGGAAGACTGCGGAGACAAATAAGGCATTTGATCAAGCAAATCGATCTTTGGACATCATCTTCTTCTTCTTCGTCTCTCTTTGTTTCTGTCTTCTGTTCTCTCACTTGCTCCGCTCGCTTCCCGAGTTTTTCTTTTTCCAGTGAACTGTCTATTGTTAATATTAAATGCAGAGAGAGGGGGAAAACCCAAAAAAAAAAAGAGAGGGAAAAATAACAACTCGTCCCAATATTTTTCGATAATATTACAATAGCCCCTATACTAGCGTATTTACAATTGGCCCCTCATACTCGTCAATAATTTTACTATACCAATTACCGAGGTTATTTTAAAAAAATCAACATAATTCACGTAATTACTCCCTTTTTATGTTTAAATATTTGTCATTTTGAAATTTTTTTCAAAAACAAGGAAAACTCTTAAAATACCCAACAATATTTTTTTCTCCTTGGAAAATGTGTTATTTTTAATTTGAATGAGTAAACGTAAAATTTATTGTAAATAATTGCATTGGAATTGTAAAATGGCATCCTTTTGCAACAAAGTAAAATTTTAAAACGAAATCTATTTAAAACTGAAATTAGTTGTTGTTATATATGGGAAATGGTCAAATTATCGAATTAACTAGTTCGGGGCTAATTTGTAAATAAGCATATAAACGGGGGAGAAGGTTTGGAGGAAAGTGGGGTTTGGGAGATTTGAGCTACGCGCTAAAGTCGACGCGCCAGAGTCACGTGCCTTTGTTTGGCCTCAATTCTTTGCTACTAACGGTAACACCGCAAGTCACAAGACCCAATATTTTTCCTTTTGTTTTATTTGTTTATTAATTTTATTATTGTTTTCAAAATTTTGCATGTAATTATTTTTGTAATATATTTTCTTAGTCCCACCATATAACCTAATCCTTAAAGTCAATAAACTCGATCTTCTATTTCATTTCTATTAAAATTTCCCCTTTTTATTGTATCTACAGTGTTTTATATTCTATCTATTTTCTCTGAGTGGTGGAGCTTTTTTGGGGTTTTTTTTTTTTTTTTTTTTTTTTTTGCTATTGTTGTTCCAAAACTCAATACGTTTTATTTCATCATCTTTTCATATTTTAAATTTCTATAGGTTGTAATGTTTCTTTATATTTTCTAGTTTCAATCTTTTGTGACTTTCCAATTTCATGCTTTGGTCGTATATGATTGCTAACATTTTCTTTCGGTATAACCGTATAAGGTATTGAAATTAGGTCCTTTTGAAAAGCTGATAAAATATTTTCTTCAAAAAAATAAACTTTACACCCAAAAAATCTTTTTTTTTATTTAAAGGAATAATTATTTTAAACATGTAAAGCTGGAGCAAAAATATTTGCAAAAATGGGTTCGGTAATATTAATAGACACATAATTTAGCTATTTTTTTGTAACCCGATATTCTGTTCCAAACTAATGGTGAGGTAGAAAAAAATATGTAATTGAAATTATGCTCGTTTTCCTAATTTGAAGTTCGAATTCGGACAGAATAAACGTTTTACATCCATATTTCACTTATTGAATTATCCAAATAAGATAACATAATTTGGCTATTTATTGACCTTTTAGTTATATTAGTTGGATTTTAAAGGGAACACTCATAAAATTTATAATCATAGAAAACTAAATATAATATTGCTTTTCATATATATATATATATATATATATATATATACACACTTGACGTCGAGTCTTGTGTCATGATAATGATGATATAATTCGTTTTTTTGGGGGGGCCTAGGAACTTTCAATTGCCTCCGGAATAGGTTACCGGGAGATAAATGCAACCTACATATCTAATATCATATGACATATTATTATTATTAATTATTATTATTATTATATTATTAGACATTGATATGCCAAATTTGTGGTCGATCTTTGTCTGTCACTCATTAATCACGGAACAATTTGTCATGTGCATTTTCTTCATTATTGACTTTGACGGACCAAATCTATTATGACCAAAAATTGCATAGATAGAAAGGTATTTTATTTATTATGAGTAAATATAGAGAAAATATCCTACATTGATAGATAGGATCTTATTCATGCTCGAGCCACACATGCCCATATCCTATTTTTATCATCCGACTTTATTACAAATTATTTGTATACCCTAAATTTTTAAACGGATTCGAATTAGATTTCGGTAATTGTTTCTCTAGCTTTTTATGTTTTTTTTTTCGTTTAATGATATACGTACTCATGACTATATATTATATAGTTGATGGAAGCCCCAGTCCACTCGGTAACATGACAATCCCTCTTTACACAAGTTCAGATATTCGATTCATCCTAGTGTTAAGCTTTGAGCCGATAAGATTTACCTGATTTACATGTTCGACGTGCTGTTGGGTTTATCTTTTGCGATACCGTGTCATTCGTTCCATTTTATGGGTTGTGAGACATTGCGGAGTTCGACCGAAGAGTCGAGGACGGTTCCCATCATTATCAAAAACAAAAATAGTTGATGGCTTTGATGATTAGATATTTATTGGGTACGATAAAAAATGTTATCTTCTTGAATATTTGTCTAATTTACCGAGTGGGGTTATTTTTTGTTTTTTTTATTTGAAGTTTCTTTTAGCTTTGTTTTGATGATTTGATCTACAATCATTTTTAAAAATAAATAAATTAAAATCAATTTACTACTATTTTTTACTATGAAATGTTTACTCTATTATATTTACTAATATATATATACACACACACACTATATGAACGATATAGTTTTATGGTTCTATGTATGCAATGCCAACACTAAGTCTATTACGATCTTCAATCTTTTCTACTAATGAAGATGTTAGATTTAAATTCGATTTCAATACTTCTAATCCTTCGACGATTTTTATAAGTCTAATCTTTTGATGATTTTTGTCTGTTGACATTAGTTAGAAGGAGGGGTGTGTAATTTTGGATCTGATATATAATATATACATATTAATAAATCCAATTTGAAATTAAAATTTTATCTAATTCGAATGTTTAAAACTAAATTAAGAGACCCAAATGGAAATAGATGAATTGTCGAATCCGAATAAAATTTGAACTGAATAGAAACCCGATGAAAATTTTAATGAACATATTATTTTTTTCAAAATCGAATAACCAACAAACGAACATATCCGAATAAAAACTGAAGTGTAAAAAATAAAAACTAATAGTAAAGAAACCAAACCAAAACTCAAAAGCCTAAAATGATGAACATATCAATTAATAGGAAAAATCCAAAAAAAAATATTTTAACTTATCAATTTTCACAAAATAAAACCTATACTTTATTTTTTCGTCAAATAAAATCTCAACTTAATTATTGAGTAATAAATAAACCTAAATGTTATAACAATTATTTTTTTTAAATTTATCGTTGATATATATATAAATAATGACGTGTCAAATATGGGTGTTGACTTGTCATAGGATATTGATACGTCACGTCAATATTCAGTTTTAAAAATGACAACGATTATAGAGTTCGGGTTTATTTTTGAATGAAAAATAAAATTGAAAATTTATTTAATAAAAAACAAAGTTTAGATTTTATTTTGTTAAAATTAACAAATTTAGATATTTTTTTTTTGAGATTTTCTCTAATTAATATAAAAAGAGAGAGTACTACTCATAAGTCATAATCCTAATCCTTTAGCTAATTAAAAATGATTTCATATCCATAGAAAAATATAACTAATGGAATCCATAACGATGTGATAAGTTACTAAGCTACCCATAATAAAATCTAATTTAGTTCTCTTTATTCGGTGGAATAGGAACCAACAATACTTATCCATAAATAAATAAATGAATGGACCAAACATTCATTCGTACGCAATTTATATAACTCAAAAAGATCATGATGATATTGAAAATCAAATTTTATTGATTGATGTTGGAGTAATGTTATTATCAAGAGATTATGATACTGAAAACCCTAATTAATGAAAACCTGTTTGGTGCCTCCAACAGAAGAAGGACGTCCCCATCTCTTAATAGAGCTGTTGCATGCGAAGCTTGCGACATGAGCTGGAGGCTTTCATCGTTTATTTTTATCATATTCCACCCTATAACTTTCAGAGATTCGCAGATCGGCCCCTATATTATCACTCGTTTGCCTATCCCGCTGATATCAACGCAATTCGTCACGTCCCAAACGCCTACGTACGTACGAACAAAAAATCTGGAGAATGAACGAACTTATGAGCTCGTTATGTGTAGTTTCTATTACTGAATCTGAATGACATATCGTCAAAAATTCACTTATTAATATCTTTATAAAAAAATCGAGATCATTGATATTGTATAATCTTGTAAATACATGATTCTATTGAGCTTATAATACTCAATGTATATTCAATATTTTTTTAGATAAAAAGTTTACACATTTGATATTAATCATTCTCACTAAATTCAATGCTTTCATATCGATGGAGTAGTCTATAGGTTCAAAGTATCAAGTCAATCTCTTCATGAGTATGTTTTTATAACGATAATTTTGTAACTGTCGAAATCATAAATATCATTGGTATATTCGATGTATTGGATAACGATTTCGGTACTATTCCAATCTTTTTAACAGGTGGTGATGAAAATTGAGATTTAATTAATAGTAGTATAGACCGTGTTAGAACTAGAAAATACATTAAGTGAAACATGTTTGAAGTGTATGTTATTTTGTATCTACGAAACATATGAATGTGGCATCGAACTGATGTTTGTTATAAGTATGGATCCAAATTCATACGATCTGGATATAGGATTTGTATGATCCTAGTTTTAAAAAATGTATGATTTGATATGAAATCATATTATACATGATATGGGTTCGAGTTTTGGTAGATTTAAACACGAGTTAAGATACTCGAGTGTGTACTCGACTTTAGTTGAATGTATTTGGAACTCGCGAAACGGAGATTGAGATAAATTTTCAAAAGAACCCACGCGATCGAGTCCGAGACAGTGTGTCCTAAAAGTCTCGGATACCCATCTGCCCCCCATCTCTAATGCGGAGTAGAAATAAATAATGTTTGATTGAATTCGAAGTTTGAGGATGAAATTGAAAGGTTAGAAGAAATAGAGGGAACTGAAATAAGAGTAGTGAGGAAAAAGGAAAACTTTTGCTTTTAAAATAAAAAATATATAAAAAAAAAACTAAGCTTGTTTTGGATGGAGGGTTTAACACGAAAGGTTTAACCGTCATCTCCAACTCGGTAGATATTCCTTGCGATTCGGATTCGGATTCCTTGACTATGCTTCATCGTCCTCGAGTGTGCTTGAAGGTCAGTCTCTCTCTGATTCGGATTCGATTAGCCTTCCCTGCGAATTGGGTGTTTTGGCTCGCATGCGATTGGGTTGCTTCGTGGATCGGTGTTTTAAGAATCGCGAAATATTCTGGATTTCTGGGTCAGTATCCGTGATTCGCCACTCAAATTCCCCGACCCAGTTGCCTGAACTCCCCTCCTTGCTCGGCTATTAGCCTGTGATGATTGGTTTAGCCCTAATCATTGGCATGTTTGAATGCTACTATGTGATAAAAATTAAAAAAAAAATCATAGAAATGGCACCAGTTTGATGATGAGGCCTGCTGTGTTGTGGATAGATCCTCATCACTCAGTTGGATGCCTTTGTATGACTGGTAGATTACTCATTACTTGAATTTGAAAGTCTTGCAAATTCATGATTTGATCTTGATGTCTCTGTCTCTTTTATTTTAACCTTTTTTTTTTGTGACAGTTGCTTGCCTTGAGATCGAGCTTGTTGGGGGAGGTTTCGTGTTCAAGAACATGTGGGGTTTTGAAATCAGCTTGGTCATGCCTCAAGGATATGAGACAGAAGAATTTGTTGTCTTTGCTTCGATTGAAGGTTATTAAAGATAATGTTAATCTCTGAATGCAAACCAGATCATGTAACTGTGGGCAATGTGTTGGGAGCCTGTGTGGAGATTTCATCTCTAGAATTGGGGAGCCAAGTCCATGCCTATAATATAAAAATCGGACTGTTGTTTGATCGGTTCATAACTAATGGATTCATCGATATGTATGCCAAGTGTGGATCGCTCGGGCAAACAAGAGGGCTTTCTGGTGCAATGGAAAGCCCCCGATGTTGTTTCATGGCGAGGAAGCACTCGAGTTGTTATGGGAAATGAGAGGTGGAGGCCCTAACCAAGCAACATTTCTCGGTGTTTTTACTGCTTGTAGTCATGTCGGGTTGGTAGAGGAAGGCGTGCAAATCGAGTACGGAATTGAACCCACGATAGAGCATTGCTCTTGCATGGTTGATTACGAAGCCGAAGCTTTCATCAATCAAATGGAGTTGGAACCCGATGCCGTCGTGTGGAGGACTCTCGTAGCTGCGTCTAAAACCCGAGGAGACATCGATCTAGCCAAACGGGGTTGCCGAAAGTATTCTCAAGATGGATCCTCCAAACTCTGCTGCTCATGTGTCACTCCGCAACTCACATGCTTCTTCTGGAAATTGGATTAGAAAGATTCCAGGACAGAGCTGGATTGAAGTTAAGGATGAAATAGATTCATTCTTTGCTGAAAATGTTCTTCATACGAAGAGGGGCAATTAGAACTAAAGTTAGTATTTTGGTTCCATTTTGAAAATTTTAAATTGAATTGATCCAAATGAATTATGAATTGGGCAAAGAAAGGCTAATGAACATTTTTTTTTTAAATCAAATATTTTTTTCTGTTTGATATAATGTTTTTAGATTTTTTTTGGTAAAATAAAAATCAAATCGAGCCCGAATTTAGTTTATTCCAGCCATTTAGAATTTATAAAAGAAGACGGCTGTCGTTGTCTAAAAATAACAGACGGTGACGAAGCCTCTTCTCCAATTGCTTCACCTGTACGTACGTACGTGAACGGCCATCTCTCTCTCTCTCTCTCTCCCTCGGTCTTTTTCCTCTTCATCGTTACTCTTCTTCGGATCGTGGATTTGATTTTTCTCCGAAACCAAAACGAAATCTTTCGGACAAACAATGGCGGCAGAAGATAACCACGATGTCCACAGGAGCGACGACCATGACGAATCGAGTCGGCTTTTGGAGGGAACTGACGTCAAGGTCAAGGCGGTGGAGTCTCCTTCGTCGGAGGGATACAGTTGGACGGTGGATGGTCTGCCGCTGAGCCATGGAAGCGTGATGGGCGAGCCCGTCGGGAGAAACCAGTGGGATTCGGGTCTCCTCTCTTGTCTAGGTCGCAATGACGAGTTCTGCAGCAGCGATCTCGAAGTTTGTAAGTCTTTTCGATCCTTTTATCTGTGATCGGGTTTTCGACATCAGGATTAAGGATAAGCTTCCGCCCTTGGTTGGACGATTGAATTAGGCCGTGATCCAACAACAGCTGATGGGTATTTCGATTTCTGGAATTAGGGTTCTTGCCATTACTCGTTTTAGATTGTGATGGATTGCTCTTTCCCTTGGATAAAGACCTAATGATGGAATTGATTCATGGATTCTGAGAACAGGTCTTCTTGGAAGCGTGGCTCCATGTGTGTTATATGGAAGTAATGTGGAGAGACTGGGATCTGTTCCAGGGTCCTTCACCACTCACTGCTTGCCCTACTTGGGGTTATACCTTATGGGCAATTCTTTCTTTGGTTGCAACTGCCTTGCTCCATGCTTCTCTTATCCAATCCGTTCTGCAATTCGCCGCAAGTTTAACCTCGAGGTATGAGCATGCATTGCTTTCTTTATAGTTCTTCTTTAAGGCTTGTGGCTTGAGGAATGGGGACTTTACTTTCTGTTTGTGTATGCATTTTGATCCAAAGGGCAGTTGAGAATTCAATCAAATTTTGAATCTTTTTTTTTGTGGTTTACTGAGCTCTTAGTTCTGAAAAGGGGCGGGGATAGAAGAAGTAACAGCCTCATGTCCACAATACCCACACACACACACACACACAATTGGATCATCGAAGAAGAGCCCAACAATTTAATCCGATTCAGCTCGAGCTCACCGAAAGAAACCAGTTACAAAAAGAATAATCCAATTAACGGAATCATACAGTTACCTTGCCGGAGAAATCGTCTCCGTCCATGTTTTGAAATCGAAAATCGGTGACTTTCCCTTGGATAAAGACCTAATGATGGAATTGATTCATGGATTCTGAGAACAGGTCTTCTTGGAAGCGTGGCTCCATGTGTGTTATATGGAAGTAATGTGGAGAGACTGGGATCTGTTCCAGGGTCCTTCACCACTCACTGCTTGCCCTACTTGGGGTTATACCTTATGGGCAATTCTTTCTTTGGTTGCAACTGCCTTGCTCCATGCTTCTCTTATCCAATCCGTTCTGCAATTCGCCGCAAGTTTAACCTCGAGGTATGAGCATGCATTGCTTTCTTTATAGTTCTTCTTTAAGGCTTGTGGCTTGAGGAATGGGGACTTTACTTTCTGTTTGTGTATGCATTTTGATCCAAAGGGCAGTTGAGAATTCAATCAAATTTTGAATCTTTTTTTTTGTGGTTTACTGAGCTCTTAGTTCTGAAAAGGGGCGGGGATAGAAGAAGTAACAGCCTCATGTCCACAATGTAGAATCAAATATTCAAATCTAAGCTCAAAACTTTAGGATTGTGACCCACGTTCTTGATTCTCTTTTGGTCTCCAGAACCCAAGAGTTCTTGAACATGCTGCATTATCTCACAGGGGTGGTCATTTCGGTTTTCGATTCGGTTATGTATACCGAACAGAAAGCCCAGCCCTTCCTTCCCTCTTATCTTTTTTCGTTTTTGGTTGTATACGAGCAGGGAAGCTTTGAGGCGATGAACAGGTCATGCGGGATCAGCTGCATAGAGGACGGAACAAAACGGGAACACTGCGAGACAACCTGCGACTTTATGACACACGTGATGTGCCACACGTGTGCCCTTTGCCAGGAAGGTCGGGAACTTCGCCGGAGATTGACTCACCCTGCTTTCAATTCCCAGCCAGTGGTAGTTGTGGTCCCTCCTTCCCAGCAAACTATGGGCCGTCGTCATTGACGACTATCTACTACTGAGTTTTGGTAGCTGCAAACTCACTGAGTTGCTTTTCGTAATACATCGTGTCTCCTCTATTTGAATTGAAACCCTTGGAGTGTATGAATACAATATTTTCAAACCGAAATTGAATAAAACAAAACAAATGAAAATTTTAAATACATATTTTAATTAATCAGAATCAAATCAGATTTAATATAAATATAAAATAAATACAGTTCCTTTCAGATTAATAAATGGAATGGGAACCCAAAAATCTACGGTTTTCATATACATCATACTAATTTTAAATTTCCGATGATCTTCTTGTGAATCAGATCCAAACACAAAACTATGTACAAAACGTTAATGGTTTCAAAGGATCAGGGCGAAAGATTCTTAAGGCTGCAAACAAGAAAGTGAGATGACAAAGCAGAGGCAATAAATTTTAAAGTCTTAAAAAAACACCTAACCAAAAGGGTCTGTGTTAATACATAATAACATTACAAAGACTGGAACCATTCTCATGACAAGAACATGAAAAAAGGGGAATAAACCCCCGTAAAAAGGTTGAATTTTTCCGTACCTAACGGATCTACTCTCCGGGGACGGGAACTCCCTGCTTCAGCTTCTCTCGCTTCAGCTTCTTCTTGGAGACGGGCTTCTTCTTCTTGGGCGGAAGGTTCTTCTGCGCGTAAACGTAGAGGGCGTAGTTTCCGATTAGGAACGTCAAGAGCAGACTTCCGACAACGAGCAGAACGATCAGCCCCGGGTTGAATCCTTTGGCTTCAGCATTCGCCTGCAGAGACAGTCACACACACACAACAATGTATGTATAATCATCAAATGCCGCTTTTGGATCAAGAATATCTCAAAGCACACAACCTTAGTTCTTAGTCAAGAAATGTGAAAAACGGCATGAGTAATAGATATATATTGGTCACTCACGTACAAGGGCAGATCAAGATATTAATAATTTCGCTCGTTGCAACAAAAAAAATCTAGAAAACGAATACATGGAACAGTACTGAAACCACCATTGCCTACAGAGGGCATCATCTTCATATTGAGCCATGCAATAGTTTTGGTGCTTCATTCACTTATTGATACACACTGGTAATCAACGAGAGAAGCCAACCAAAAACTGGTTTTGTTTCAATTCACTGACAGATCTGATATTAGCTTTGTCACCGATCCAACAACTCAAATCGAATCACTGCAAGCAATGCATGCGTAGAAAATCACCATCACGATCACAAGAGTACGATCGTAACTTCAAAATTCCCAGTTCGATTCCATTAAACCAGAGGCAATTTTTTCCCAAACTTTCCATAGATCCAACAGCGAGAAACCAGAAATTCCGGAAAAAAAAACACACACACACACACACACACACAATTGGATCATCGAAGAAGAGCCCAACAATTTAATCCGATTCAGCTCGAGCTCACCGAAAGAAACCAGTTACAAAAAGAATAATCCAATTAACGGAATCATACAGTTACCTTGCCGGAGAAATCGTCTCCGTCCATGTTTTGAAATCGAAAATCGGTGAGATCAGCTCCGACGACGAACGAATTGAGAGGAGGAGGAGAAGATTCGAGGAATCGAAGTTCTAATTGCGAACGCTTGATTACAAGACAACGAGGAAAAAAACAATTTATATTTACATATTAAAAAACACGTGTTCTCATCCACTAATAACAAGCCACGTGGAATAGTTAGAAACTTTATGTTTGGATCCCTAATGTTACGAATATTTCTGTTTTTGACCAATATCGTTTTATTTCTTTCAGTCTGACCCATTATTTCGATCGTGTTGATTAGGCTTTCATTACAGAATATCGACCCAATAAGTTCAGCAAATATTGGACCAAATCCAACACTAGGAACCCATTTTGTATTATAATAATTTTTGTCAATTATTAATTATGGTATATTATATAATAAATAATATCATTTTTATCATTTGAACCGGGTTGAATGGTTTTTAGGTATATACTATTTGATATATCTTGCCGAGTACGAATTTCGTCTATTAAAAAGTATTTTCACAATTAATTTTTTTTCCAATGGGATTGTGACAAAAAAAAACTTGAATGGAATATGTATCTTATGAGGATATGAATGATTCTATGGGATAAAAAAAAAGACAGATAGTATAAGATAGATGCAAATATTATGAGCTATTAAATTGTTTAGAACTTATAAACTCTTTATATGTATAATCATATGTAGTGTGAATATTTAGGGTTTATGCCACATTTAGATTTGTCGTTTTTATAGTTGTTTCTCGATATAATTTATACCCATTTAATTATATATGGGTTATGTTCCGTGTAAGTTTTTTCATTCAATTTTTCGATTATTTTCATATTTCTTTTATTTTGCATTATTCAATTCGATTGGTTAATATAAATAAAGTGAATGCCCAAAAAACCGACCGGCTGAATATATGATCTCTAGCCGTTGAAGGTTTTTTTTTAAATCTAATCTCTACCGTTGATTGTTATGACTTTTATTCCCATCGGAGTCAACTCTTTAGTAAATAGAGCCAAAAAAAAATGGAGACAAAAAAGAAAATATAGAACTAGAGATCAGTCAGTGTATGTATGTATATATGACGAGCAACTTCCCTTGATCCGGTAGCCATTGGAGACCCGAAAAGGACCCAAAGAAAAAAAGTTGCGATTTTTTTTTTATTTTCTCTTGGCGGAAAATTTGCAACTGAAATGATGAACAGCGTCGGAGGAGAAGAGAGGCAATATTAGGGGAAATTTCTGGGTTTTCTGATTGGGGGCAGGGAAAAAAACCCTAGGGTGATGATCAGATGCTATTGGGTCGTCGAGGAATAGAGAAGCATCGACCATCATGATGAACACTTCGAATGGCATGATCTCGGCGCCGTCTTCGTCGGCGGCGGCGAACCCTCAGGCGCCGGGAATCAAGACGTACTTCAAGACGCCGGAGGGGAAGTACAAACTCCACTACGAGAAGACTCACCCTTCTGGGCTCCTTCACTACGCCCATGGCAAAACCGTCACTCAGGTTAGACTTCTAATGATTCAGGATTTCTGCGCTCTGGGATTCTTCTTTGGGTGTTATGATCGAAATCTTAATCCTATTTCATGTTTCGGGGACCGTAGCTTGATTTGTGAGTATTTGAGAGAATTGTGAAGCATTGGGTGTCTATGAACAAATTGGTTTCACTGGCATTGTTCCCTATGATAGATTACACTGAATTCAGCGAGCTTTTGCACGAGGAGATGTCATTTTCATGTTCGTCAATTTTTCTTATGATGGAATTGGTATAACTTTACTGGTCAGGTCACTTTAGCTCATCTTAAGGAGAAACCTTCTCCTTCTACCCCAACTGGTACTTCTTCAAGTTTTAGTTCTGGTAGTGGATTCCGCTCAGCAACAGCTCGATTGTTGGGTGGTGGAAATGGGAGTCGTGCACTTAGTTTTGTCGGGGTTAATGGAGGGAGCAAAAGTTTGAGTACAAGTACGAGAATCGGTGGTTCATTCACTGCCGCTAGTTCTAGCACATCGGTGAAAAATACTAATTTCGACGGGAAAGGAACTTACTTAGTTTTCAACGTGGGCGATGCCATTTTTATCTGTGACTTGAACTCTCAAGACAAGGTAGTTCTTGCTGTTTAACTTTTGAGATTTAGGCATAGTTTGGTAGTTTTGGTCAATGGCTAAGCAAATTTCCTTTGATGTAGGATCCTATAAAGTCTATCCATTTCAGTAATTCAAACCCTATATGCCACGCATTTGATCCAGATGCTAAGGATGGGCATGATTTGCTTATTGGACTGAATTCCGGCGATGGTAAATATAAGAACTTTGAGTTAAACACTGCTATCTACAGTTTGGAGATGCGATTGTTGTCTTGTGGGTTTATTGTTTTCACCGTATTATTGTAGTCTACACCGTATCACTTAGACAGCAGTTACAGGATGTCAGTAAGAAGCTAGTCGGTGCACTTCATTATAACAAGGATGGCTCTATTAATAACAGGCAAGAGTCACTTCTCCTCACATGTCGTTTATCTATTTATTTCTCTTTTCTCCCCTTTATCGTGCTATTATATGTTGGTGAAGATTGAAGATATTATGTCGAATATTGATTATTTTAGTTCATCGTTTGTTCTTCCCCAAGATTCGTTATTGATGTATGATTTAGGTAACTCAAGATATTCAGCCCGAGACCTGTATAATTGCAGAATAGCTTGTAGTCTTGAAGGGTCTTTTTTCTTTCATTTCCTGCAAGAAACTTCAAATATATATAATTTTTTGTCTCATGCCTTTGCTAAGAGTAAAGGTGAAGCTTTTTTTTTTCCTTTTTTGTAACAGCCGTTGCACTAGTATTGCTTGGGTGCCTGGAGGCGATGGAGCCTTTGTTGTCGCTCATGCCGATGGAAATTTGTACGTGTACGAGAAGGCAAGCCTCATTTAACAGAATTCAATTTTTTTTTCAATCTGATTTGACATAATTTTCTCGCATTTCTGATCCTCGATAGTTCTCTTAATTCTAGAACAAAGATGGCACCATTGATTCTTCATTCCCTGCTATACGAGATCCTACGCAATTTTCAGTGGATAAAGCAAAATACAACAAGGTATCCGAGTTTATATTTATTATTTTGATTTGTTTCACTGGCAATTTTTCCATTTGCTGATGGTCTTAAATAGCTTTCGATTATTTAACAGCCCTGTTTTAATTTCCGCACGTATTTTTCGTGCAGAGTAATCCCGTCGCTAGATGGCACATGTGTCAAGGTTCAATTAACAGCATTGCATTCTCAAATGATGGGACATACTTGGCAACTGTTGGAAGAGATGGTTGAGATATGCTGATTTTTTTTTTCAATTGCACTGTATGGTTTCTGCTTCGTCATTCTGATAATGTTTATCGATTAAGCAACTATTATTGTTGTGTTTTTACGATTTTCCAGGTTATCTTCGTGTTTTCGACTTCTCAAATCAAAAGCTAGTGTGGGGTGGAAAAAGTTATTATGGTGCTCTATTATGTTGTGCTTGGAGGTGAGTGTTTGTAATGCAATTCCTCGGCCAAAAGAGAAATGGGAAAAAAATATGTTTTTTTTTTACAAAGAATCAGGTTCTCCACAATGTGGCATTCTACTTTTGCTTGTACATTGAAACCGTGATGTTCTTGATGTTTTCTTTTGCATAGAATCGGGTTTTTTTTCACAATGCAATGCGAATCGGGTTTATCTACTTTGGTATGAACATTGAAAGAGTGATGATGTTGATGATGATGATGATGATAATAATAATAGTATGGATGGGAAGTACATTTTAAGCGGAGGTGAAGATGACTTGGTTCAAGTATGGAGTATGGATGAAAGGAAGGTTGTGGCTTGGGGGGAGGGACACAATTCATGGGTAAAGATCATTCCTTTTTTTTATTTTTACTGTGAAATGATCCGTCTGAATCTGAATCTGATTCACATGGAAATGTTTGGCAGGTGAGCGGCGTGGCTTTTGATTCTTATTGGACGTCGCCAAATTCAGATGGATCGGGAGAGAATATCATTTATCGATTTGGTTCAGTTGGTCAGGTATGTATTGCATGTGAGTAAATTCCAACCCCGAAATAGGATTACACGTTCACGGATCGACGGAACAAAGCTTGAGAGACGTTCGTTTGGAACTTCTTAGGGTTTTTCTATGCTCTCACATTTTGCTGAAACAGGACACTCAGTTACTTTTATGGGACCTGGAACTGGACGAGATTGTGGTTCCGCTCTGACGAGCTCCTGGAGGGTCCCCGACGGGAAGTCAGTCCTCATCTCATTGGGACAACCTCGTACCGGTCGGAACTCTTCATCCCGCCTCGTTCCCCCGCGACGTCCCGAAACTCTCCCCCGTCGTTGCTCAACGCCTCCACATAGAGCCCCTCTCGGGACTGATGTTCACCCGAGAATCCGTCATCACAGCCTGCAGAGAAGGCCATATAAAGATATGGACCCGACCCAGCGGCAACTGAACCGGAGGCAAATTCCAGGACGACCCTTTTGAGCAACCTCCTCGTCTCCAAAGACAGTAAGCTCGCTGGTGGTTCCAGTTACATACGGGCATTGACCCGACCATGAAGCTCTGTCTGAAATCGATTGTTTCAGGTTTGGTTTTCCTGACTCAGGCCTGTGGTAATATCTCCGGCCTTTTTTGTTCGCTAAACCCTAACAGAGTCAGCCGCTGTATATTTGGGGAGATTGAGACAGAGGCGAAAAGGATTTTTGGGGGATGTAATCATGAAATCGGCTCTTGCTTATTAGGGTTTTATGTCTTCGAGTAAAAACTAACAGGAGGGATAATGGGAAGTTTGGAGATTGAGACAGACAACACTCTGTCTTGTTTGTTTTCTTCGCCATAGATTTTTTCTTGTTACAGTTTCTTTTTGTTTTGATGGCAAAATAGGTATGTTAAGTTGTTCTATTCCTATATAATACACACTTTCACAGTTCTTGACCAAATGTATAAGATTTATTTTATTGGTATATTTTTGTTACAGATAAATCAAATCGGATAGAATCACAGTAAATTAAAAAAAATAAATATTATTTCAATAAAAATGGATTAAACGATAAAGAGTTTTTAAAATCCAAAAATTCAAACCTAAAAATAATCGAATTGAACTCAAATTTTAATATCAAATCTTTATATAGGTATTAAAGGATATGGATTTTGTTAAAACATCAGTTTGGGCTTATAACGGGCCCCGAAATCAGAAGCGAAATCTGTTTGGGCATTTAATGGGCCAAACCTCTTACAATTTTGTCTTACATAATAACAAAATTTAACAGAGATGAATAATAGGCCTTTCATAATGGTAGAAATATTATGGTTTCAACAAAGAAACTTCCAAAAGATAAAAATATCACAGACACGTGGCAAAACTCCAGCCAATGTAACTGTATGTACACTGTCTGATATGTGGGCGGATGCATGCATATGAGGAAACAAAAAATGGTAAGGAACCAAAATGATTGGTGGCGGCTGACCCCTCTCTACGTGGCATGATGTGAGTGGTTGATTGAACCGACTGCTGTAATGGACGGTGGTGATACGTTGGTCGGAAGAGCGATGGACGGTCACGCGCGGCCCCTCCACGTCACCCCAACAACAACCCACTGATTTGACTGGAAACAGCTTTGAAACGACGTCGTTTTCTTCCATCCTAATTATTTCTATTCGACCGACCTGATTTTAGTAATCGAGTTACTGCTTTGCTCGGATATTGTAATTAACGAGTAACGTTTTTATAAAAAAAAATTAATTAAAAAGTTTAACGCTTCGATATTTCTTAGAGCGATGGACGGTCACTCCTGGCCCTCCACGTCACCCCAACAACCCTCTGCTGCACACGTGTCTTTTAATATTCCTTTTTTCTGTGTTTTTTGCCTTTTTGCAGAAAAATACGACTTTTAAATTTTTAATGGTTTTTTTACTTGGCATAACATAATATAACATAGAATTTTTTTTAAAAAAAACCAACTCAACTGTAAAATTAACATAATTTAGTATACATGTGCTTTAAATTTTCAATTTTAAAAAATAAATTGTATCTCAATTTTATAATCCGTGTGATTATTACAGTTTTACAAGTAATTTAAAAGTTCAATTTCCAATTAATCAAAAATATTTTTCAATTACCCTTTTGATAAGTTAATTTTAAAATCTTTTATACAAATCATTTTACTTATAACATTTAAAAACCAACCGAACCGAACCCATCAATTTAATATATCTCATAGTTACCATCTATGTAGTAATTGGCTAGTAATTATTCTGAATTCGATAGTACCATGCTCTCTTTTTGTAAATTTTGTTGAAACAGTCACACAATTACGCTGAAAAATGTTAAAATTCATTGTTATTTTTAGAAACGTTAAATTCGAGAATTCTATGTCTACGATATTCTATGACAATTGCCAACAACAAAAAAAATGCGGAGGGATATGTATATGACATGCGACAAAAGCATAGAAACAATAGTGTATATATACCGAGTCGGTCCAATAGAAAACGACATAAATTTACAAATAAGGAAATGGGGCGGCGAGGCTAAGTTAAATTAACCATAAACCTCCATTATTTCCCAAAAACAACAATTTGTTTATATATAAAAACATTATAATATTCAAAACTAAAGTTGTGGTTAAAAATGGCCCTTCCATCACTTTATTTTTAAAAGTTTATGTTAATGCCATGGGGTAAAAGTGTATGTGTACCTGAGAATTTACGGGACACTGTTATTGAAAATGTTGTCTCATGCCCTTCAGGGTACACCTGGTGTAATGGTTAAAAGCTTATAATTCTTCGAGAGGTGCTGGATTCGATTGCACTCTCCAACAAACCTGTTATCCATTGGATGGTTTATCTGTTCCACATAGTTTGCAGACTATTACGTGGAATCGGAAGGTTTATCACCGCGTTCGAAGAACTATAGTTGGATTTCTGCCGTTACAAAAAAAAAAAATATTGTCTCATGTAACTCTAGCGACTGAAAATTACATATATAAAAATATGATATACCAATGTTTCTTTTTGGTAAACGATATACCAATGTTTAGATTGCGAAATTATGTTTTTGGTTTTTGTAACCAGATTTTTTAGAGAATTGAAAAACTTTATTCCTATACCAAAATTTCAATTATTGGAAATTGGTTTTAAATGGGTACACGTCGATTTTTTTTTCTTTTGTGAGACAAAACAAACATTATATAAATGATTACTAGAGGAAGAATAAATTTCACCGGGGGTTTTCCGGTTCATGTCTGTTAATTAGCCGTCTATGTCCGTTTTGTATCGTTAAGTTATTTGTTCGTTTTTATCCGAATCCATCTGTTAGTGTTGACGGAAGTTAACACTAAAAAATTTATGGAAAAAAACTGAAAGAAACCCTTCTTTTTGTTTTCAGAGATAACAAAATTAATCCACTAATTTATATTCGCTAAACATATTAAGTATATAGTTTTACACATTGCATTATAAAATCTAAATATATATAGCGTGCATGCAACATATTTACGCATATAAATCCTTACGAATTAACATATACGCATTTGTTATTGAATTTACACACATTCGTATTCAGTAAAAAAATATTTTAAATTTGATTTTAAAATTTTTAGAATCAATTATTTCAGTTCATAATCACGACATTTGAGTTGCTATGCTGTGGTAGAAACTTAATTAATGATTACGACGATATAATCATATATCTCAATACACACACATTATATATAATATATATTCGAATACAGACGAGGCTTGGACTTATATATTAAACATAATAATAATAATAATATGTATTTTTAAATTTTATAAAATTATATAGCCAGGTGACTCTATATAAATACCTGGGTTCCTCTATCTTCTCAGCACCACAAACACACACAGAGCATAAGCGACACGTATATTCACGATCGAGAACAGAAGAAAAAAAGATTCCCGCAAAAAAAATGGCGAAGGACGTAGAAGGAGGAGCCACCGGAGAAAGTTTCCCGGCGAAGGATTACAATGATCCGCCGCCGGAGCCGTTGGTGGACGCGGAGGAGCTGACGAAGTGGTCGTTCTACAGAGCAGTTATAGCAGAGTTCATAGCCACTCTTCTCTTCCTATACATAACGGTCTTAGACATCTCAGATACTTCTGGAGAAGAAGAAAAGAGATGAAGTATTTCTCAAGGACCGTATACCCTTCTGGTTCGCGATTTCTGGGTACGTCGGTCTTGCAGCCATCTCAACGGCAATGATCCCGATGATATTCCCACCATTGAAATGGTATCTGGTCCTCTGTTCTTACTTCATTGCCCCAGCCCTCGCCTTCTGCAACTCTTACGGAACTGGTCTCACTGACTGGAGCTTGGCTTCAACCTATGGAAAGATCGGCCTTTTCATCATCGCTTCGATAGTAGGAAGCAATGGCGGTGTCATTGCCGGTTTAGCTGCCTGTGGGGTCATGATGTCGATCGTCTCTACAGCCGCTGATCTCC